CACCAGTTCACAAAGGGAGAAACCCAGCCCTGAGGCTAAGGGTCTGGGTGTTTACAGACCTAGACAGTGCTTCCAGGTTGCTCCCCAGGACTGGGTATGGGTATAGTGGGGCAGGGCGCAGTGAGAGTAGGGGTGTGGGGTGCTGCCACCCAGCTTGGGGAACTGACCGGAGGAGGTGGGGAAGGGGCTGGAAGCAGGGCAGAGCTGGGGCGGGAGACCAAAGAGAAGGCCACTAGGGTCGGGGAGGGAGGACACAGGTTGGGGAGGGGTGCAGAGGTGGGGGCGGAGCCGAGGGCGGGTCTCAGTCCCTGTGAAGGCTGGAATAACTGTGACCTTCTTTCACCTTTCTGTCTGCCGCGCTTTCAGGATAGATTGGTACTCCGTCGCTGTCCGGATACGGACCCCAAAATGTAAACCATCCAGTCATTTCTCATCAACCCTCTCCCAGCTCCCAGAGTTTGGGCGGTGGAGTAGGCTGCCGGGAGGGGGCATATTTGCCAAAGACGGGGGGCGGGACCCAGGAGGTGCCTGCCCGACCCGTGGATGAGCCAGTGGGCTGCCAGAGCCTAGCCAGGTGCTGGGGCCGACCCCCACCCCAAGCCAGGGCAGCGAAGAAAGGTGCCTTCAGGCCTTTGCACCACCGTCCGGAGCGCACACTCTCCCCCCTCCGGGAGAGTCCCAACAGGTGCCTAGAAACGACCTGAAGTCCGCCCCCTCCCCAAGATACAGGAGAGCGCTCCAGTTTCACAGGACAACTCCCGCCCCCAAGCATCCACACCCGGAATCCGGGCAGGCTCTCCAGCCCCCATCTCTCCTATGGGTTCCTCAGCGGCGACCCCATGGGCCAGGGAGCGGGGCCTCCTCGCAGCGCTCCAGGGGAAGCGGCTCACGCCTCCTGCCAAGTCAGCCCCGCCCGGGCTGCGGAACCGGGGTGGGGTCCCCAGGGGCCGTGGGGCTGGGCGAGGGGTCCAACGCAGTGAGACCAGGGATCCAGAGCCTCCAGCCTGGGGGCAGGCGGGCCGGAGGGAGGCACAGGGCTGGTGGACTTGGGAGTTCAGGCTACCAGTGGGTAGACCCCAGGGTGCGGGCTGGAGGAGAACCGGGGCGGTGGCTGCCCGCTGGCTTGAGGGAGGGCCGGGGGGCAGGACTTGCAGGAGGGGGACCAGAAGGTGCCCTCTCCCGCTCCCTCTCTCTGCCCGGAAAGCAGTGGGCCTTCCCTTCCTCTGCCTGAGAGCAGTGGGCCTTCCCTTCCTCTGCCTACCCCCGGACCAACCTCGGCAAAGCCCCGACGGGAGAACCCGCGGCACCCCAGGTCCAAGGAAAGGGGGGACTAGGGAGAAGGACGCGGCAGCTAAGAGGGAACTCACCTCCGCGGGGCCAACCGAGGCGGGGACAGGCCGGGAGGGGCGAGGGCGCGGCCGGCCC